CTTTACACACCTGGAGTGTCCTGAAAGCTTTCCCACATTGCTTACATTCATAGGGTTTCACTCCAGTGTGAGTCCTTTCATGTGTTTTACAAGTACTCTGTGTCCCAAAAGCTTTCCCACATTGTTTACATACAAACGGTCTTTCTCTAGTGTGAGTCTTTTCATGTCTTTTACAATGACTTTGTGTCCTGAAAGCTTTCCCACACTGGTTACATATATAGGGCTTCTCTCCAGTGTGAGTTTTTTCATGTCTTTTACAATTACTCAGTTTAGTGAAAGCTTTCCCACATTGCTTACATAGAAAGGGTTTCTGCCCAGTGTGAGTTCGTTCATGTCCTTGATACACCTGGAGTGTCCTGAAAGCTTTCCCACATTGCTCACATACAAAGGGTCTCTCTCCAGTGTGAGTCCTTTCATGTGTTTTACAATTACCCTGTGTCCTGAAAGCTTTCCCACATTGTTTACATACAAAGGGTTTTTCCCCTGTGTGAGTCCTTTCATGTGAGTGACAATTATCATGTCTCCTAAAAGCTTTCCCACATTGTTTACATACAAAGGGTCTTTCTCCAGTGTGAGTCCTTTCATGTATTTGGTAAGAGCTGCGTGTGTTGAAAGCTTTCCCACATTGCTTACATACAAAGTGTTTCTCTCCAGTGTGAGTCCTTTCATGTATTTGACAATGACTCTGTTTGCTGAAAGCTTTCCCACATTGCTTACAAACATAGGGTTTCCCCATAATGTGAGTTCTTTCATGACTACCAAATGAAGTTTTATTATTTAAGAGTTTCCAACTGTGTTTGTATACATAGAAGTCTACTCCAGTGTGAGCTCTTTCATGTTTCTGAATATCATGGTGAGAATTCAAACTTTCCCCCAATTTTATATATGTACAGGTATTCACCCTACTGTCATTTCTTTCCTGGATTTTATCATAGTTGGGTGAACTGAAGGGTCTTACATCTTGATTATATTCAAAGGATTTCTCTTCAGAATTACTTCCTTCAGTGCACTCAGAGTAGGATTTTGCACATTGCTTATATCCATAAAGTTTTTCTTCAGGATTTGTCTCTGCATGTTTCTGAAAGGACTGAAAGTCAGTGGAGGTTTTCCCATGTCTGAAAGACAGCTTCTGCTCAAATCCATGGAGCTCATATGATTGGAGTCCAGAGTTATGTATGATCGGCAGAGTTGGTGATGAATGACCAATCAGAGGATTTCTGCGTGCAAGGCTTTCACCCGGTTTTATACCAAGCAGGTTCATGTGCACATTTGTATCAGGAGTCATAAAAACTATCTCTCCACATTGATACCCCAACTTATATTGACAGAATTTATCTACCTCTGCACTTCTGTCAAAGAAAAAAAATAACAAAACAACCAGTCACATTTTAAAATGTCTTTATAGTAATATTTACCAGGAGGAGATCTGATGTGATGCACCCTAAGCATATTTGATCGTGAGTTTACTGTACATTCTGAACAATGGCTTAGAAACAGCTTTTACCAAAACAGTATCTTTTGGGAGTTTGGAATTGATATGTTTGTAATACTACATACTGTTGATTTTCATTTTGAACAAGTGGTACATATATACCATATGCTGATTATTTTTCACACCTTTTTCTTCTATCACCCTACCCATCCCCCTTCCACTGAGCCTCTTTACCCTCTCCAAAATGTCTGCCTCTCTTTTCTCTAACATCTCTCCTTTATTTTACTTTTTCATATCTTGCAATTCTCATACAAACTATAACACATGATATTGAATATTGTGTTTATTTTATTTAATGTAATATAGGCTCCAGATCCATCCGTGTGTTTTTTTTGGCAAATGACATCATTTCATTCTCCTTTATGGCTGAATACCATTCCATTACATACACACACCATATTATTTTCTCTGCTGAAGAATGAACCCAAGGTTTTAGCACTGAGTTACATTCTCAGAGTTATTTATCTTTTATTATGAGGTTGATTCTTATCAATCACTAAGTTGCTCAGGCTAAGCATGAACGTGCCTCAGCTTCCATGCATGTTCCATCCTGGCCAAGTTATCCCATTGTTCCTTTCTACTCATCTTTGAATGGCCATCTAGACTGTTTCACTTAGTAAGTTTTACTGCTGAAAACATGGATATGCATGTATCCATTTCATACAATTATTTTAACTTTGGGGGAATACAACCAGTAGAATTATAGATGGATAAAACAGAAGTTCTATTTTTACTTTTTTTTGAGCAACCCCTATACACATTTCCATAGATGTTAAACTACAATGACATTCCCACCAACATGAGACAGTGCCTTCTAGTACTGTATTTTGGAACATAAACAGACTAAATGCTTTTGAGGATTGTTTGAAAACAGATATTATCAAAACAGGAGCATTGATTTAGATTTTGAATAAGTCCTCAATGTTACCAATGTTGCAAATA